TCGTGTCGTGCATGCGGGCGAAGCTAAGCTGCGTGCTGGGCGGGAAGAATCACTCCGCTGTTGCTAGGGCGGGGCAAGACAACTGTCCGAACCTCCCTCGGTTGGCAAGAGGTGGCCGGGTTGTCCCGCCGTGGTGCCCCGTCGGTGTCCCGTTGGGGTCCAATCGCTGTCCCGTCGCTGTCTCGTCGGTGTCTCGTCGGTGTCCTGTCGGTGTCCCGTCGGTGTCCCCTCGGTATCCCGTCGGTGTCCCGTCGGTGCCCCGTCGGAGATCGAGAGTGAGATCGATAGCGAGATCGATCATGACATCGATGATAGTGTCGATCGTGAAATCGATCGAGATGTTGATCGTGAGGTCGGTAGTGGGATCGATCGTGGGATCGAAAGAGCGAGACGGTGGGCCCTCCCCCACGAACCCCCTTTATCGCCTGAGCGGTGGTCGTATAGGTATGATAGGTGGGATCTTGCGGTGAGAAGCCATGGGGCACATTCTCAGTCGATCTCTGTATGTCTTAAGCGAAGGGGCCCAGGGACATACACACACACACACACATAACTGCACACACACACACACATCCCAGGATCCCCCATATTTCTCAATGTCTTTTGGGGTTTTCGTCTTCCCCCCCGCATTTTTCCCATTTTCTCCCATATCTTCCTGGAAAGCGACGATCGATTGTGTCTTCGTGTTTTTTCCCCTCCGATTCGGGTGCTCCGGAGCTTCGGTCCCTGGGACCACCCCGGGGGGGTGCGACACTTCCGTGGGGCACCTGCTGGCAGGACGATTTCTTGTGCAGGGTGCCCACTGCGCGAGGGCCCCGGCGCCCCCAAGTTTGGACGCCCGAAAGGGGTACGGAAAGAGTGGGCACGATGCCCAACAGCAAATGTTGTCCCGAACCAACAGCGGCCGCTGTTTGGCAGGCGGCCGTCTGTCTCAAATGGGCACAATCCGCGGCGACGCCGACAGCGAATCCTGTCCAAAAAGAACAAGAACTGCTGTCGGTCTTTGCGCCCATTCTTTCCGTACCCATGTCGGTCGTCCCGACCAAGCGGAGGCCCCGAAAAACCCAAACCGCATAACAAACGCACAGCATGTATCATATGCTTTGAGCGTCATCGCCTTTGCGACTTGTACACACGCTCGCAGACGCTAAGGCAAAAACAAAGCTGCCGAAGAGACTCCCAAGGAAACCCAACAATGGCCCAATAGAGGCCCGAAAGCGCTTTGAGAAGGCCCTGGCAGGGCCTACAAGAGGCTCCCAAACGGTTCCGACAGGGCCCAACAGGCGCCAGCATGATAGATATAAGAGCCCAAGAGAGCTGCAAGGAATGTCCAAGAAAACTTCAACGCCTGAACAAACTGCAAGATAATCATAAGGGACCCCGAGAACCGGGTGCTGCAGGACCACCCTGGCTTTAAATGCCTCCCTCGGACCTCCAATTCAGCTAAGGTGTGGGGGCGGATGGACGCCTGAAACGTCGGCTTGCGAAACTGACCTCATCATATTGTCGATACGGTTGTGGAATTGAGTTTGCTGATGAGGCTGGTGTTCGTGATGTGGACGTGGTGACATGCGAACGCTTGGAACAGCATTGAGAACCGAACGACCCCACTCCTGGCAACTGGAATGGTGATACGCCTACAGCCATGCCGCACTTTCTGGACCTAGGCTAGCTGGAATGGTGAGAGTTCCATGCCCGTGCCACAGTGTCTGGACCAGCGACGACTGAAATCGAGCCAACATATCATATTGAGTCTCATTTCTGAACCTGTAAAAATTGGAATCCAGTCAGAACATTCGCCCCCCCCCCCCCCCGATGGAGATTCTGGTGAAAGGAATATTTCAACAACTGAAATCGAGCCAAAACCTTGTAGTGAGTTTCATTTCTGGGCCACATCGGCCAGAACATCATAGTGAGTCTCATGCCTGGATTTGGGAGGGCTGAAGTCGCGCTAAAACACTATATTAAACTTCACTTCTGGACCACATCGAACCAGAAGAGAGTGAGTCTCATGTTTGGATCTGCGAAAGCTGAAATCGAGCCAAAACACACGCCCTCCACCCCTGTGGAGTTTCTGGCGAGAAAGATCTTTGACCTGAAATCGAAACGAAACGTGATAGTGAGTCGCATTTCTGGGCCAAATCGAGCCAGAACACCATCGCTAGTTTCATTTCTAGATATGGGAGGGCTGGAATCGAGCGGCAACATGATAATGAGTTCTATTGCTTGACCACATCGAGCCGCAACACCATGGTGAGCGTCACTTCTGGGCCGGATCGAACCAGAACGCCAGGGTGAGTCTCATTTCTGGAGCTGCGAAGGCCGAAATCGAGCCAAGGCACAATACGACATCGATTCTGGACAGCGTGTCTCCCCGTTGGGAAGGGATATTCTGGTGAAAGGGGATCGAACCACAGCGCAGTCGTGAGTTTCATGTCTGGACCATATCGAACAGAACACCGAGCTGAGTTTCACTTCTGGATTTTTGGGAGGGCCGAAATCGAGACAGAACACCACAGGGAGCCTCGTTTCTGGACCACACCGAGCCAGAACGCCAGAGCGAGTTCCATTTCTGGGCCACCTCGAGCCCAAACACCATTGATTCGATTCCAGATCGTTCCAGATAGCCGCAGGAATGGTGAGACGCTTCCCTCTGGCCCGCGCTGTGGAGATACTGGTGACAGGAACCTGGGACTCTTGAAGAGCCCGATTCGCGAAACGCTGTTCGGGAAAATCTGGCCCCAGGGGGGGTCTGGCGCTCCCACTGGGGGAAGACTCGATTCGGAGGTCTGGTGGGCCTGGGGTTACGTCGGGCGTGTCCCCCTACAGTGGGATTTTCGATGAAAAATAAAAAATACACAAACAATGCTCCAAAGCTGCCCCGAAATACTGAAAAAATAGTCCCCCGACTATTTTTGGACTGTTTTGGAGTACTCCCCCCTGTAGAGGGACAGGCCCGACGTAAGCCTGGGGGGGCGGTGGTGTCGAGTCCCCCCTCCCTTCTGCCCTCTACGTCGCGCTCCGCCCCCACCCTCCGCCGCCTTGGATTTTTCGGGCTCGCCCCCTCCCCCGCCCCCGGAATTTGGGGCTCGATCCCCCTCCCCTCCTCGCACTGTTTACCTCCCTCCTCGCCTCGCCTTCCCGCCACTCTCGCCGTCCGTCGCACTCGTCGTCGTGCTCGTCGCCGCTGCCTCCCTCCCCTGCTCGTCGTCGCACTCGTCGTGCTCGTCGGTGTTTTCGTCCGCGTTCTGCCTCTTCCTCCTCCTTCTCATCATCCTCCGTCCTCCTAGCTGATCACCTGGCCTCCTCCCTGCCTGTCCTTCCTGCCCCTTTGTCTTCTTCTTCTTGTTCCCTTTGAATAATTTCGCCCTGTTGCACCCCCAAGCATGCCGCAATGCTGGGCCGGGCGTTCCGCCGGAGACTTCATCGCCGTTTCTGATCCTGAGGCTTGCAACTTGCAGCTGTTCCGACGATGTGGGCCATAGGTCATGTGGCTCCCGACTTCGCGTAGACAAATGCAACTATTTCAACGAGGAAGGGCGGTTCCTTTGCATCAGTTTCAAGGAATCGTAGGTTTGAGGTCCCAGGTCGTTGGTTCAGGAATGCCAGGACGCAGCAGCCATGTTGATTGTGTGTTGAAATCCCAGGAATGGTTCTCTGTCACGAATTCAGGTTGTCGGACGGCACAGTCACGTTGATTCGCGGCGTTGCAGTCCAAGGATTTATGTTTTGGCAAGACTGAGGATTTTCATACGGTTGTCTTTCAAAGGGGCTCTTCCCGCGCTGGGAACAAATTCTTGTATGGTCTTACGAACAGGAAACTTTAAGGGAGGGTTTAATGCAATGTCGTTGGTGCGTCTTGGGTTTACACTGGTCCTCCTGCTCCTTTTTTGGCGGCCCCGGGCAAACACGAGAACGAGTACGACGACCGCCGACAACGTACGACGACATTCCACGTCGTTCGAAGACGAGTTCGACGACGAACCCGACGATGTACGACGACGTTCGATGACGTGCGACGATGAGTTGCGGGCGAAACGCACGAGATGAAACGCACCAAACGAACAACCACCAAGCGAAACGGACCGTAAGAAACGCATCGGACGAAACGCGCACCGGACGAAACGCCACAGGGTGAAGCGTACCAAGCGAAACTTGCTGGACGAAACGCCACCTGGTGCAAAGCACCAGACAAAACGCACAGGGCAAAACGCACCAGGCGAACCGCCATGGGCAAGACGCTCTGGACAAAGCGAGCCATTGGCGAAACACGCTGGGCGAAACCCACGAAGCGAAACAACCATCGACGAAAACACCAAGCAAAACCCTGCTGGGCGAAACTCATCCTGCGAAACGCCACCAAGCGAAACGCGAACCAAGCGAAAACCGCACCAAACGAAACGTGCACTAAACTAAACGCACAGGGCGAAACAGAGGGAACACACACCAAGCAAAACTCGCCGTGCAAAACGCCACCAAACAAAACGTTGACTAGGCGAACCGCGCACTGAACGAACTGCCACTGAGCGAAACGGACCAGGCGAAACGCATTGAGCGAAACGCTCGGGGCGAAACCGATCCTGTCCTCCAGAATGGCTGGGGGTCCCCGGGTGCTCTCTTCGAAATGGTTCTTTGGCACCTCTCTGGGTGAAATTTTCTTTGCTGTCTCTGGCACGCGAATGACCCAACTTTGACGATTCTGGAACCCAACTTTGGCCCCCAAACGAAACCCCACACGGACCCGACCCGAACCCGGATTGAACGGGACGAAAACGGTGTTCGGGTGCAAAGCGGGTCCATCTTGGCTCCCTTTTTGGCTCATCTGGGGCTCTCTTTGGCAATCTCTGGGCAACTTTAGTCGTGGATCCTTTTTTGGCCTCCTGCGCGGTCTTGTTGAAATTCCTTGATTCAACTGTTTGGGTATGTCCTGAGGCTGTCTTCGCCTTTTCTGGCGAGGTATAGGCAAGATTTAGAGGCGAACGCGAAGCGTCTTGAACCGCAATGGCGTCCAGAACCTCCATAGGCTGTGTCCAGAATGGCTCTCTGAACTCGCACGGGATGCCCAACTTCAGAGTCCAGATATCATACACCATCATGAAGCTCACCTCGATGGTGAACAATGCAGCAAAGACGCACTCAATGGCGAAGAAGACCTCTTTTCGCGTTCCTCCTCCTCCTCCTCCTCCTCCTCCTCGTCCTTCTTCTCCTCTTCCTCCTCCTCCTCCTCCTCCTTCTTATCCTACTGAATCCTCCGTCCTCCATGGCCTGTCGAAGTTGAGGCCACCAGCTCTTCATGTACTCATCGCTACCGTAGTGCGTATAGTAGCCGAGTCGGGCGCCCTCTTGAATGCCTTCGACCTCCTCCTGGGCCACCATGAGAAAACAATTGATGATCACCAACACGGCGACGAAGATCTCAAATCTCGCGCTGGCGATCGTACCCCGCAGTATCCTGCAATCCAGGTCGAAATGTTGATTGTTTACCGAAACCTCTTCAGCAAAACGCCATTTTGCGAAAACTGCTGGGGCACTCCACGAATGCGCGCCGCACCGAATTCGGAGTGCACCCGGGCGGAATGGTCGGAATCACTACTCGACGTTCAGCGTTCGGACACAACCGAATGTATCCAGAGAAACGCGCGCCGATGAACGAAACCGACCAATGACAGCACCGGTACATTCGTATGCCAATGTCGAGTGAACCCGTGCGAATTCCCTCAATCAACTTGTCTGGGTGGCGCTTGCGCGCAAGCGTGCACACGGCCGCCTCCGGAACCCTTGGTGCGCTGGCGCGGTCCTTCTCTTTGGCGGTAGCAGGTCAGAGTGAGGGGGCCGAGCGGTAATTCATTGTCCCTGGGTGCGTGGCTGAAGTGGGATTCCGCGATGCGAATTGTTGTTGTTGTTGTTGTTGGTGTTGTTGTTCTTGTTCTTGATTTTGTTATTGTTCTTGTTATTGTTGCTGCTGCTGTTGTTATTGTTATTGTTGTTGAACTCTCATTACTGAAGAATAATTACTGTTGATCCCCCCACCGGTGCAGACTTTTTCTTTCTCAATCAAAGTGTGCCCTTCGACGCTCGCACCCTGTTATCTTATCTAGGAAAATCTTGAAGCTCAAACTGGGCCCCTGGCCCACGGGTTAAACAACACCGGCTCCCGCCTGACACTTCTTCCTCACAATTTAGCCAGGACCCCCGCTCCCGCCCGAGACTTCCTCACATTATATTCAGGGATCGCGCTCTCGCTTGGGACTTCCTTACAATTTATTCAGGAATCGTTCTCCCGGCGCTCTGGAGTTGCGCTCTCGCTGGAGACTTGCTTGCAATTTACTGAATCATAGCGCCCTTGCGTTGGAATTTCCTGCAATTTACTCAAGCGCCGCGCTCCCGACACTCAGGCACCCAGGAATCGCGCTCACGTTTAGGACTCCCTCACAGACTACCTAGGAATCGGGATCTCGCTGCCCTTGGTGGCCCCGTTGCAGGCCTTCGTGGCCCCCTCGCTTTGTTTCGTGGCCCCGTTGCAACCCTTTGTGGCCATCTCGCTGCCCTTCGTGGCCCCGTTGCAGCCCCTCGTGGCCCCCTCGCTGCCGTTCGTGGCCCCGTTGCAGCCCTTTGTGGCGCCCTCGCGTTGTTTCGTGGCCCCGCTGCAGCCCTCCGTGTCCCCCTCGCTGCCCTTCGTGGCCCTGTCGCAGCCCTTCGTGGCCCCGTTGTAGCCCTTCGTGGCCCCCTCGCTGCCCTTCGTGGCCCCATATATGTATGCCCTTCGTGGCCCCCGCTCGTTCGCGCGCGTGGTGGCCCCATATGCATGCCCTTCGTGGCCCCGCTGTCGCCCTTCGTGGCCCCCTCGCTGCCTTTCGTGGCCCCGTTGCTGCCGTCAGTGGCCCCGTCCTTGCCCTCCGCGGCCCAGTATACGTATGCCCTTCGTGGCCCCCGCTCGTTCGCGCCCGTTGTGGCCCCATGTGCATGCCCTTCGTGGCCCCGCTTTCGCCGTTTGTGGCCCCCTCACTGTCCTACGTGGCCCAGTTGCTACCCTCAATGGCCCCATCGTTGCCTTCTGTGGCCCCGCATTATCTGCCCTTCGTGGCCCCCGCTCGTTCGCGCTCGTCGTGGCCCCATACGCATTCCCTTCGTGTCCCCGCTGGCGCCCTTCGTGGCCTACTTCGGGTCCTTGTGGCCCTGCTGTCGTTCTCTCTCGCTCTCGCTTTCGCTCGTTGTCGTCGTCGCCGTCGCCGTCGCGGTCGTCGTCGTCGTCGACGTCGTCGTCGTCGTCGTCGTCGTCATCGTCGTCGTCGTCGTGGTCGGTCCCCTGTCCGTCCCTTTTGGGGTCGGGTCGACGGTCCGCGGCCGCCCCGCCGATCAGCGCTGCCGCTGGCCAGGCCGACGGTCCGCGGCCGCCCCGCCGCTTGCCAGGGCCCGGCCTGCTGGGAAGAAAGGTATACCCCCCAAAAGGGATTCGATCGAAAACGAAGAGGGCGGGTATCGAGGGTTTGGGAAATACGCGTTCTTGGACACTCGAGCAGATAAGGGCGAACAGTCTTAAAATGATTGTGCATAACTAAATACTAGATAATTATTATTGTTGGACACCCTAAAGGCGCTTTGGCGCTCTCGCCGAGGCGCCGGCTATATTTGTATTGAACATGAGGCTCACGATCGAACGGTTTGGGGGGCCGCCCAAACCGGCCCCCCGACAACAACAACGCTCCCGCTCGAAACTTCCTCCTTTTTACTCAGGGCTGGTGTTCTTGCTCGCCGACAACAGCTGCCGTCCTAACAAAATCAGCGCTCCCGCTCGACACTTCCTCCCGTTTTACCTTGGACTGGCGCGCTAGTCTTTCTCTCATCGGTGCCGCCGCCAGCAAAAACAACGCTCCCGCTCGAGGCTTCCTCCTTCTTTTTACTCAAGGCGGTGCTCCCCCTCGCCGCCGAAAACCGCCGCCCCGACAAAACTAACGCTCCCGCCCGAGACTTCCTCCCGTTTTACGCTGGACTGGCGCCCAACTCTCTTTTGAATTGGCGCCGTTCCCAGCAAGTTTCCTCCCTTTTTCATCGGGACGGTGCTGTTCCTCGCCGCCGAGAACCCCCGTCCCGACAAAACCACGACTCCCGCTCGATGCTTCCCCTTTCTTACTCAAAGTGGTGTTCTTCCTCGCCGCCGAAGACCGCCGCCCCGACAAAATCAGCGCTCCCGCCCGAGACTTCCTTCCGTTTTTCGCTGGACTGGCGCCCTACTCTCTTTTGAATTGGCGCAGCTCCCAGCAGAACAGTGCTCCCGCTCGAGATTTCCTCCCTTTTTCCTCGGGGCGGTGCTGCTCCTCGCCGCCGACAGCCCCCGTCCCGACAAAACCACGGCTCCCCCTCGCTGCTTCTTCCTTTCTTACGCAAGGCGGTGTTCTTCCTCGCCGCCGAAAACCGCCGCCCCGACAAAACCAACGTTCCCGCTCGAGACTTCATTCCCAACCATCCTGTGGTGTTGGGTCTCCGTTTTGAAGGGACGGTGCCCCGCGTTCCTCCTTCCTTCCCGCCCTCCTCCCCCTCCTCCTCCTCCTTGGGGTGGGCGCATGCGGTTCCCCCACCCAGGGCAACGCTTCGTGGCCCCATAGGGAGCTCCACCGAAGGCCCCAGAAGGGGTGGGCGCATGCGGTTCCCCCACCGAGGGCAGCGCTTCGTGGCCCCATAGGGCGCTCCACCGAAGGCCCCGATGGGAGTGGGCGCATGCGGTTCCCTCACCCAGGGCAGCGCTTCGTGGCCCCATGGGGAGCTCCACCGAAGGCCCCGGTCGGGGGGGGGGGGGGCGCATGCGGTTCCCCCACCCAGGGCAACGCTTCGTGGCCCCATGGGAGCTCCACCGAAGGGCCCAGTGGGGGGGGGGACATGCGGCTCCCCCACCCAGGGCAGCGTTTCGTGGCCCCATAGGGAGCTCCACCGAAGGCCCCAGTGGGGGGGGGCGCATGCGGTTCCCCCACCCAGGGCAGCGTTTCGTGGCCCCATAGGGAGCTCCACCGAAGGCCCCAGTGGGGGTGCCCGCATGCGGTTCCCCACCACCACCACTGTGGCAGGCCCCATCACGCAGTTCGTGGCCCCATTAGGAGCTCCACCGAGGACGATATTCACAACTGCGGTACTCACAATTGCATATGGTTGGGTCCTTCGCCAAGCTAATGTTGTTTTAGGCTGGACTAGCGCCCTACTCTCTTCAGCATTGGCGCCGCTCCCAGCAAAACAGCAGCCCTGCTCGAGACTTCCTCCCTTTCTATTCAGGGCCAGGTACTTGCCTCACCGCCGACAGCCCCCATCCCCACCAAGGCAATCCTGTCGTTCGATACTTCCTTGTGCTTTACCCTTCGCTGGGGTTCCACTGGCGGTCTCGCATCGGCGCACCAAGGCGCGGGCATGTGTTTTCGAGGCGGGATCAGCTGAAATTCCTCGGAGGAGGTGTTTGCAAGACCTCATTGGGCGGGAGATCTAGGAATGGGAATAACCGACCCCGCTTTAAAACAAAGAGTCCCCCATGATGTGGATGGTTAGCATGATGGTTGCATGCTTCGTGTGGGAATATAACGCATGTGGGTAAAATGATTGTTGTTGTTTTTTTCCTGGTTGTTGAGCTCTCACCACTGAAGAATTATTGCTGAGCCCCCCTCCGGTGACCAGTGTGTTTTTTCAATTGAAGGGCCTCCCCCAGGGCTCGCACGTTTTTTCCCAACCATCCTGTGGTGTTGGGTCCTCGTTTTGAAGAGATGTCGCCCCGCGTTCCTCCTTCCTCCTCCTTCCTCCTCCTCCCCTTCCTCCCCCTCCCACACCCATTCTGGCACACCCCTCACACGTTTCGTGGCCCCATAGGGAGCTCCACCGAAGGCCCCAGTGGCTGCGCCCGCATGCGGTTCCACCCCCCATTCTGGCACACCCCTCACACGTTTCGTGGCCCCATAGGGAGCTCCACCGAAGGCCCCAGTGGCTGCGCCCGCATGCGGTTCCACCCCCCATTCTGGCACACCCCTCACACGTTTCGTGGCCCCATAGGGAGCTCCACCGAAGGCCCCAGTGGCTGCGCCAGCGGTGGCGGTTCTCACCGCCCCATGCGGTGGCACATTCTGGCACACCCCTCACACGTTTCGTGGCCCCATAGGGAGCTCCACCGAAGGCCCCAGTGGCTGCGCCCGCATGCGGTTCCACCCCCCATTCTGGCACACCCCTCACACGTTTCGTGGCCCCATAGGGAGCTCCACCGAAGGCCCCAGTGGCTGCGCCCGCATGCGGTTCCACCCCCCATTCTGGCACACCCCTCACACGTTTCGTGGCCCCATAGGGAGCTCCACCGAAGGCCCCAGTGGCTGCGCCCGCATGCGGTTCCACCCCCCATTCTGGCACACCCCTCACACGTTTCGTGGCCCCATAGGGAGCTCCACCGAAGGCCCCAGTGGCTGCGCCCGCATGCGGTTCCACCCCCCA